GGAAAGGGACTAAAATTAGGGGTCCTGCACCACACTTCCACGAATAGCAATTCACGCCTGTTTTCTGTGTGGTCGTGGTATTGCACCGGGCGAACCGGCCCAATCGTGCAATGATAAAGCGGGCTCTACCACTGTAATATATTAAGTTATGGTTCAATCGTGTGTTAGAATGCACAGTTGATTTAGTTTGACTTAAAAAGTTTCACGTCGTATGGTCAACGGTACAAACATCCTCGTTCTCTCCGTCCCTGGTTCTTGTACCTTTGCCTTGTTTCTAAGCTTCATAATTTTCACGTATTAAAACAAAACAGATTATTAAACATAATTTTTTTGTAACAAAAAATGTTTATCTTAATAATTGTATTATAATTTTGCTAAACGAGCGATAAAAATTTCGTCCCACGCAAAATTTCGCCCCCGGCCGGGACTTTCTTTGTACCTAATAGGCCTTTAATTTTGAAGCGTACATTGTAGTCACACATTCGCTCGTCGCTTTAATTGCGTTACTCTTCACTGGATTTAAATACAGCGGTTGCTAATTAAGTAATTTATTAAAGCATTTACGATCGTTTTATAATAAAATAATGAATAATATAAATGTTTGATGTAAAAATTATTAGGATTAAAAAAGGACGTTGGCGATAGATAAAGAAATTTAACTAATAATCTAAATGCGAAAGTTTAGAACGATGATTGTTAGTTTATAGATCAAATCTATACTATTATAATAAAGCGTAAACACACACTTCTCTGTTGCCTAAGATGTCAGCAATTACAACATTTGTGGGAATAATTCCTTTTTTAATACAAAGCCCTACACTTACGTCACGCTTTAGGCTATATATTTTCACTCCATCAAACTTAGGGGGTAAATATTTTGAATAATAACCCTAATGTGGGAAAGAGACCATAAGTTGCTGGCAACATTAAGGAAGCAAGGTTGCCATGGTTTAACATCATGTCATGTCATTTTGACATTTGCAATTGATAATTTGACTAATGTAAACAATAAAATGATTTTTTTATAAATTTATGGGATGAAGTCGCATGAGCTAGTTCGGCATAAATATAGAACATAGTTTGGAATAATAAATAGACTAGTCACTTTTTTAACTTCGCGCGGACGAAGTCGCAAGCGAAAGATAGTAATTTAGTTTAGGCGAAAGATAGTCACCCTAACTTAGGATAGGCTTCGAACCCCTCAGTGCGGACATATAGTGAGCTGGTGATATGATGAACTTAAACGCAATTATTACCTGTAATAATTGAGTACTTGTGCGAAGACTCCGGGATGTCTATCGAAGAAGTATTCGTTGAGCACGGGGTCGTAGTTAGCGAGCGCCTCAGTCAGCCGCGACAGTCGCGTCGCGGGGATCTTCTTTAGCGTTGCCTTGTAGGTTTCGTATCTGAAATATAGAAAAAAAAATAAGTACCTTGCGTTTTTTATAAAGGTCAGCATCATGGTAACATTACAGTTAACAACACCAGCTACAGCCCTTAATATAGCTAAGTAGAATTGTGAATGAACTCAAAGAGTGCCATGGTCTCCGGCAAAAGAGTCTTAACCTTCCGTTGGCTCATACTACCGTGGGCCAGACTAAGATTTGGACTTCCTGTACATCACTGTTTACTTTGATTTTCTAGCAAAACCTAGATGATTGGATGTTAGAGTTTTCAGCCTAAACTGCTGAACGTATCTCGATGAAATTTTGGATAGATGTAGAGGTAGTAGAGGATAGTCTTGAAGAAAACATAGGCTACATACTTTAACATTTTTTTAATTTCACGCGGACGGATTCACGAGCGAAAGGTAATCCTATTTTTTTAACAGTAACACGTTTTAGTCTTGTAGAATGTTTATTTCAAATGTATCAATTTATTCTCTTCTAAAATCCAATAAGAATTTTGTTACTCGTTCTCCGTAAGCCGATACATGCGATCAGCTTCACTGTATTGTACACGTACTCGTATTACTTAAGCAAATATCTCCCGCAAGGTTCGGTTGTAACTTTTGTACACGTAAAGGTTCCTATCCGTCTGAAGAGCGCTTGAATTACAATCAATTGATTGATTCAAAGCGAGTCGGATTATTTATTCCCATCTCTTGATTCTCTTCTGATTAATTTCGACGTACGATATAAGAATGAGGATATAGTGTACAATTTTTATTCATAAATAAAATATTTAAGTACTAGTTATCTATTCAAACTTAAAAAATAAAAACAATCAATAGTTTATGTGTTTTTTCCAGACTATTATCTGCATCTATGCTAAATTTTATCGAGTCCAGTGCAGCACTTTAGGTTACAAACTCTAACAAGCATCTATCCATATTAACTTTCATTGTCTTAGTTATCTTTTATAGTGTGATAAATTATATCATTTTTTAATTATTAATAGAATATTCAATGCATAATTCCACAAAGAAATATTAAATCAAAGTTTTAATAAGATCATTACTTTGTTTAAAAAAACATTAACCACTAAACAGTTTCCCGCTCCGCTTGTATTATCGCTTATTCTCATATAATGTGTCTTCTCCTTAACGTGATTCCCCCAAAGGTTACCTGAGCTGTGCGTTGAATTATTGCAGCCTTTCAATACTATTGCTTGCTGATTTGTTTTCTTAGATTGATGAGTTTGAACAAGGTTATATTTATTTAAAAATATAAATTTGCTTTCTTTTTTATTAATTTACTGTATTAAAAAGAAACAGTGATTATTTGTCGATGGTCAAGATGACTCCGATGTAAATAGTCGTAAGACAAAAAATCCGATTTTTCAAGTGTGTCGTTTTAGTCAATGATATAGAATAAAAACTGTTAATAAGCTAAGAATGTCTTCGCAACTTAGTTTAACTTGTAAATGATTTAAATTACGATAGTGATTATGTAAAGCAGAATACGAAAAACATAAAAAAGTAGGTAAAATACGTGTTACATCATATGGGAACCGCAAGTTACATTTTTATATGAAAAATTCTATATCTCTTTCAAAAACCTTTCGTAAATCGTATTAGTTCTTTACTAAAAGAATCTCGTTAACAGGATATCTTATTTTACGGACGACAAACTCTAACCTTTTACAAAAATTCTCTCTCGGATATTACGAGCAAATCTCCACGGAGAAGATTACGTGGGATTTTTGGAAGCTTTGATTTACCTTTTATTATATTTCTTGTTATTTACTAGCTAACGGTTTACGACTAGACTTTTAAAATTTTTATATTTATAACAAAATTAGTTAACAGTTTCTGGGACTTAGTAAATTTAATCGATGTTATTAGGGTTTGAACGTAAGTTAAAAATAATCTTCAAATTTATCATAAGAACCGATAATTATAAACGTTTTCTTTATTTATTAAATTTGAATTCTAACTAAAGTAATCTAAAGTTTCATTTCCAATGAAAATTAGTTCAAGAAATTGTTTAAAATTCAAAGTAAAATATCTTTAAAGCTTCCAGTTTGTTTTAACTTAGTTTGTAATGTCTTTTCAAACTATTTAATTTAAATTAATTTGCTAAGTTTCTTTTATAAAAGATAACGTGGTAGCTTTATAAATAACATAATTTAGGTTAAATAATCAAATAAAAAACCATCGATAATATACAAGGAAGTTATATAAACATCTGTTCTTTGTACGCAGTTTATGAAGGAAATTATAAATGTTTTTCTTTGCCTTTCTATCATTATTATACCGTTTTTGTGAAGCCTCTTTACATTTAGGCAATAAAGCTGTTCGTATCCGCTTCAAATACAAACACAACAAAGTCAATATTTATCAATAAAACATGAGTTAATTGAATATTGGTTATTGACGTAATATGTTCCAAAGAGTAAAATAACATTTTATTTCATATTTCGAAATGTGTTGCTATGCAGATTAAACTAAGCAAATCTTACTATTATTATAAATGCGAAAGTTTAGATGGATGGATGTTTGTTGGACTTTGTATCCTAAACGGCTGATCGGATCTGGATGTAATTTGGGCTAGATATAAAGCATAGTCTGAAAGAACACATAGGCTACTTACTTTTGTTTTAACCGCGCAGACAAAGTCGTGGGCGAAAGTAATATAGACATATAATAGTTAATTGTAATCTTGATAATTCCATATTACAAGTTTAGAAAAGATTATGTATAAGTAAAAAGTAAATAAGTTTAAATAAACTTCCTAGAAATCGACACGAGAAAATATTCAGTTCAAACGCTACGCCAGCTGCTGCCGACATTTGTATGCAAAATAAAGTTTACACTCGATCCACGGCTTTTCTCTAACATCTAAAACGATCGTCAAGGGAAGGAGTTAAAATTCAAGCTTTGAGGTACCAAACCTTTTTTATGTTTTCTTTCGTCAGTAATATGTCTACAGCCCTGCACTAAACATAGGTCTACTCCTGTACAAATAAAACTTCGTTTTCTTTTTGTTTTATGGAATTTTAAAATACACATCTTTGGTTCTTATGCTCTTATGTCCTCGAAATGCAGAGGGCGTCCACAGATCGCCGCTAGCTTGCTCTATCCTGGCTACCCTGGGCTCTGTGTTTGTCTCGGGCCATGACAGCCCGATTGTCTTTATGTCGGCCGCTATTGATTGCCGCCAAATTTGTTTAGGATGGCTACGCTTTCTTGTTCCCATTGGCATCCACTCCAGGGCCTCCCTGGGAATGTGACTAGGATCCCGGCGTATGGCCAATACATAACCATTTGCGGCGTTTTGATTGTTGAACTTTGTTGCGTATCGTTTCTAGTAATAAGATACCTAGGATATACTCATATTAAAATACACTTATTAACAGTTAATTTATTAAGACAAGACACGCTGTAACTTTGTTAATACTTGTGGAGCACATTGAGGGTTAAAGTTAGCGAGGACATCGAACAGCACTTGGTTAGTTATCCCAATACTTAGAAACTAAGTTGAGTTTAGTTTTCATTTGATGAAATGTTGAAGTATTTTAGAGTTGTAAGCCACAATCAAGTAGAATACAATGGAATTATTTCAACATACTGGATTTTATTTCTTTAACTTTAGCATGACTCTGTTACTAAGGTATATAAGAAAATAATTTCTACCTAACCTGTTTCTAAAATCAAATACTTGTAAAATGCACTTCAATAGACCACTTAATATTTTAAGCGACTGGCTGGTAAGGCAGTAAAGTCATATTTCGTAGAAAGGCATTCAGATCTTTGGATGACGTCATATTCTCAGAAATATTACTATGACAAGATATACCTATCTCTTTCACTCTTATTACAAAAAAAAGAGACAAAATTTGCATGAATTATTTTTCTTAGCAGTGGAAATTGCTGCTTATAAACATTTTAAAATTTTTGTAACACATTTCCACTCCGTAGATAATGTTGGAAATATTAAAAATCTTGGTATAAAATGGAATCTAGCATTCATGATATAATCAAGTGGGATACGCGTCTAGCATCGTTAGCATTAATGCATACTAATTCAGGCAAACCCGCTGCGCATGCTATAAGCATAGAAATTAGTATGGTTTTTTTTTTTACAGGTATTATATACCTAAGTAACTTTTATCACATACTCTTTAAATAACGTTTATTACAGACTTATTAGAGCATGCGTACACCTAAAACTAAACTATCGCACAACTGTTTAGTCGCACTTTGATTCCTTTGATAAATATAGAATTTTATTGGTAAACTCTATACTTGTTATGCTCCCGTCGATCGGATTAGACTGCCTTGCTAGCATAACGTCATGCCAGTAAACAACAGTGTTGCCATACATAAAAATTGGCTATAGAAAAGCATTATATTTTTAATAGGCATATATATGTATTTCGTAGTTTGATCAAGGCGCTTAGTGGTAACTTAATAGTTCTAACTGAATCGTTAACCAATGTAACTTAAGCACAGTATATTACGATTTAAGTGTACTTAGTACTACCTCCACAAGTAGTTTGTGAGCATGCGGCTAGTTGATTTAACTTTGAAGTACAGTTAAAGAATTTAAATCGCATACCACATACGATGATATTTCATCGTGGGTAGGAAATAAACGTCCTCGACTGTGTTCATACATAATTATGTTCTGTAAATAGAGAAAATTATATCCCTGAATGTGTAAACAAGGCTACGTGTTGCCGGATATGGGATATGAAGCCGAAACGTGGGCTTATAATCCGTTGAAATAAGTTGAAGTCACGTATAGCATAGGGAGGATATTTGCTATATGCTGGGGGGACTATTCTCATAATATATGACAGGATACTATTCTAAAAGTCTTTAATATCAGAGATAATTGGTTTTCATAAGCGTTTATGTAATAATGACAATATATCGATGAATCCCACGTAAACTAACGTAAGCGACAATTTTGAGATTTACACTTTTGTTGTTTGTTTTCCAAATTATTTAATTAATACA